CTACTTACAGTTATAGTTATGTGGTATCCATTTGTAGCAAAGTGAATTCTCTTTGAACCGCTTAATACCTCGAACTGTTACGAACCTGAATTTACTTAGCACGATGACGCTTGAAGGTGCAAGGCGTAAAATTTTTCTCATTGGGATTCCGACGCTTCAATCTATCTCGTCCTCAGAATTCTCCCATGAGTCTGAAGTGGATGGTAATTAAAAAGCTCCCGATCAAAGGCGAGATTTGTGAACGCCGTGGGGAGGTCTTTAGCTAGTCGTGCATAAAATATCCTATTGGAATTGGCCCCTTCCTGTGACGTTGGAATTCAATTGAGCAGTTGATAATAACTTGCTAGGAATAAGGGTCGTTCTATCTTACCTGGTAGTTGCTTTTCTTCAGTTTTGCCGCATGTTTTGGATTTGATGCTGCGCTTTCCCATTTAATTGAGGCTTTTCTAGGCTGTCCGAATTTGAGCGAGGAAGATTTTGGGTGAGGGTTAATATTAACATACTAGTTGCCATCGTTATAGCCTTCGAGACTTCCGTTTTCCTGCTTTAATGACCTACTTCTCCATTTAGCGAGGCTGTGCTCAAGGCCTCAATAATATCTAACGACATGTCTGACTAGTTTGACGATCTGTAAAGAGCATTTCCTGCTCAGCAAGGGGCAATAAGCAGTCATGAGCATCCTCGAAAAGGTTTTTTGATATAATATAGATCCGGAAACGCGAGCATTCCAAAGTTGAGTTTCCCGCACCCAGCCTTCCTTCTTTTTTGTCAGGTAGCGATTCAAAGGATGGCCAAAAATAGGGTTGTGTAGGGACATGGATATTACTCTTTTCAAACGGAATTTGATGAACATGTCTTGGAATGTGTCATGGGGAGCTGTGCATGCTTGGAATGAGACGGAATTTGTTGATATGGCGTCTACTGCGGAAGCAATTTTTTGGGTTTTTTTCAGTAAGAGATGTATGGGATATTGCGGGATATATAGGATGCTAGTCTGGCGTGGTTCCCCTTGAATCATTGAATGATTCATATTCCCTATTTGGGAGAGGTGAGAAGCGGTATGTGTACCATTAGCTCAACTATTTCGGCTGCTTTGAGCTTTACGAATCGTTGATGTCCTCCTGGTGCGGCAAATGCTTTGATGGGAAGCCGGTAATGGCTGAGGTCAACCAAAGTACATTGTTCGGCAACTCGTTAAAAACTGCCGATTTCGAGTTTACTCTAGAGCTTCACCCACCCTTATGTTTCTGAAGAGTGACTGTCAGCATTTCGAACGGGGCGAAATAAGTATGAGATTGAGAGCACTGGCCCTTTCTCCAAAAGGCTGAAGCCGCTCGAAGAAGCGCTGGATAACTCCTCTAAAGACAGAACCTCTCCCCTTCTGTCCAGTGATATTTCTCAAATGTTTCGACTCTTTCTCACACTCGTTCAACGGCTACTAAATCGAAAGAGTACGACCCTATTGAGTTGATTGAGTTGATCATGTGACTTTCCAGCCAGTAGACTCAGGGTTGGGTCTGGACCTGATTCTTTATTAATTTTATCATATACCTGTGTCAATCTGCCAAATTCGTGTCAATCTGCCAAATGTACTTAGGCAGTGCTAAAGCGGACAAGAACACGGAAATAGGATCTGACAAGATGCCAATAATTGTCAAGTGCGTTCCCAGAGGACCTTCGATTCTGCTTAGTGGAACGATAATGATATGTCTCGACGATAAAGTAATTTCTCATAAGATGAGCGCGCTTGGTGCCAGGGTCATAGGTCTCTCATAGGGATGGCGCGCCCAATAGGGAAGCGAATCGGATACAGAAAAGGAGTGTCTATCTTTCCACATCTGGGATCAGATACTACCAGTAGAACAAAAAGGCATAGCGACATGTTTAGAAGAGCTACCAACTGGCGATCGATATCAGCCATTCAGTAAACAATTAGCAACCAGAGCGTTACTGTACAATAAAAGAATGGGAAGAGGTTGAGATTGACCCCAGATGTTGTGGACTATCGGACACATTGTACGGGGGTCCATTCTTTACAATGGTGCGAGCACAGATATGAGGGGACTTGACTAATGGCCTGATGATGTCAAGTAAGCATATGTTAGAAAAGGCCTCCCAGTAATGGAAAGCTGTTGAGCCTTAGCAGTCAGGGGTTTCGCAGGTGATGACAAGTTCAGTGGCGTGTCCACAGCAAAACGAATCAATTTATAGAGTGTACTCGTGATGTACTACCAATACTACTCACCGATTGCCATGCACAACCGGTTTGCTCGTTGATGGTGAACTCTGAGAAGCTTGGCAGTCCGTGCCCCAAGGACGTGCCGTCTTATCTCAACATTCTCTTTATGTGTGGTGAGCAATGTTGACGTTAATTTAATTTTTGTAATAGTAATACGATTTTTACTTTCGGCCAAAAGGAAAGCGAAGGAGATGGATTTGTTATCTTCGTGAGCAATAATATTGTAAATAAAAATATCAGAAATCGATTTTTCGATCAATACTATCAATGGGTGAACAACAACTAAAAACTATGGAGATCAATTTGTCCGTTTTCAGTGAATGAGGAAATATTCAGCGAGGACGCGATAAAAGGCGATTTTGAGACGTTGCATAAGTTTGTCAAAGTGAGTTTATGGTTTATTTTTGTTATTGTCCCCTCTACTCAAAATCAGACTCATCCTTGTTGATGTAACATTAGAGCTAAGCTTTAGAATTCGAACATTCTCAATAGTTATTCTTGCTCTACCTGAAATAATGGAGTTTTTCTTTGCTCTGGATAGAAGAGATCAAGTAATTAAATCGAGAATCCTGTGATTTTATGTTTTGCTAAAGCTCAGACGTTGCGCAGCATAAAGCGGTCACGCATTGTCGCGCGAATTTTTCGCTCCTCGCGTCCGGGTTAGCCATTCATGGACCTGTTCGAGCGGTTCCACTTATTCATCGACTGAGTCCTGTAGTAAGCAGGATAACTGCCAAACAATTATTCGAATATCTCAAGATCCCGAATAAAGAGAAGTTCATGGCGCATCGGGCCAATGATATTTGTCTTTCTACTTTGTACTGTATCATTATTCAGGAAATGCAAGAGGCAACTACACTACCTGCACCAAGCCTGGACGAGAGATGGGAGAAGCTGAGCGAGAAATACACTGAAACTGAACCGACTGTGCTGTTAGGCACCATGTCACCAACGCGACCTGATCAGATGTTCAGTAATGACGGTCAGTTTTGACTATATTATGTCAGTAGGGGACCAGCCGGGCAGAGAAACATTCCAGAGTTGAGCTACACAGAGATTTCAAAGCCTACTGACGCAGTGTCTCACTTTCGTCTTTGGTTTTAAAGGATGCACCATGGCCTTTTAGTTGTTCCTGAAGTTTTTCACTGAAGTCTAATGGCCCTCTACATATTTCTTTCCCCATATTTTCTTAAAAATTGAAAACAATCATTCTACTATTCGTTGATTTCTAGAAGGACGGATGACATCCTACTAAATTATTCAGGGAAGGAGGGATTATATTTCCGCCGGTATTGGTTTTAACCTCCCTTGTGAGTCCAACGCATAGGGCCAATCGACATCATTAATCTTCATCTGGTATGACATTGCTTATTCACTCGCGTGTCGTGGAATGCTTCCAAAGTAATCAGCGAAGCATTCGTATGTACGGCGAAGGGATAAAGGGACCAGAAAAGAAAAACGGTTGAGAGGGTAGAAGTTTTTGTATTACTTCCAACCCCCTCACCCCAAATTTTCCTTGTAGAGGAGTCTGAAGCGTGAAGTTAATTACAGTAGAGCCATGAGATTTCTGGTGAAGGCTTTTAAAATATAGATGTATTAACAAAAGCTACACTTACTAGGATATGATTTTTGCTTTCGATCGTTCCCTAACCGTCCCCACAGGCTACTTTATGTTCGACTCGGGAAGCGGTTTCCATTCCACTGAGTCGGCTCCTCCTGAATGAGGGACTTATCTCAGCGAACTGCTCTTATCTTAACAGGTAGCTCATATTAACCGATCTAGGTCTATGTGATTTTGAGTGAGGTGTACGGTAAGGCACTACTGGAGGTGTATCTGAACGAGTTGGACAAATAGGACGAAAATACCGATGAACCCCATTTACTTCGACTTTGACAAAGAACAGCTTTTTCTCCTCGCCCATACAGAACCACCAGAGAAGTTCACTCCGGAAACTAAAGTAATTCCAACAATTTAGCCAAAATGTGGCTTCTCAGCTGCTTTTGAAACTTCTTCGAGCAGTTTCCAAACAAGTGCATTGACAGTTTTATTTTGGTCAGAGGCGCTATTGTGGAAAGTTTACTAGTTTGTCTTCTACTTCATGAGGGAAAGTGCTACATATAGTAAGTCAGAATTGTAGGCTTAGCATGTGATTGCACTGGGCAGCCAAAGCTCACGTTACTAGTGGGTTTTTGTGAAAATAACTTAAGAATAGCTCTCTGGTTGATGGGTGAGTCCTGACGTGATTACACCTAGGAAAAGAAAAGCGTGAAAAACAGAGCAAAAACTCAGTGGCACCTCACTCATAAATACTCCTTTGTAACGATTTTTCCTTCAGATTGTCACTTTTTCAAAAAGATAGCAAAAAAGTGAAAGAATTTCACCAAAAAAAAGTGACCTAAAGAAAAAGGAGCTGTCGCTTAAGGTGATTTGTCAATCGATACATGACAAATCTCTCTTACTTTTAGTTCGAAAGAGTTTTTCTATTTTTCCCTTCTTTAGCAAAAATAGGCACTACTGTTCAGGGAGGCTTTCGATACATATGGGAAAACCGGGTGGAAAATAGAAAAAACTGTCATTTAACAAATCTGTCCCACTCATTTTTTAGAACTGACATTACGTGGAAAACTTGACCGATGACTACAGGCTTGGGCATTTCTTCAGTCGTGTGTCCAAGTGGGAAAGTGCTGAAGTACTATTCTGGTGGGATTCGGAGCGGAGTTGGGTACTGTAGGCTAGTACTGTAGGCGGAAGTTCAAACGAAATCTGCAAATCCTGTTTACACCGTGTCGTCGAAATTCCGTTTGGCATCTGTTTCAGCTGGTTATGTCACTGAAGATCGCTACAGTCTTAAAGAGGACGGTATAGCTGACAAACAGTTGAGTATGGGCAATGAACCCGATGACAGTAGCCAACCAATGGAGGCGAATTTTATCGGTATCACGCATGACATCATGCTTGCCATCACTTTTGTCAAGCGTAAGTATACTCCGAACATTTGAATTGCCTAATTTGTTTTGAGCTTATGTGAATGAATGAGAAGACAGTAGTATAAGTGAGTAGTTAGTAACTGTAGCTCATAGTGTAGCCTAGGCTTAAGATTGGGTGTTTCAGAGAACAAGGAGAAGGCGCTGATCTGTGCAGCACTATCGGTGTCTTTGGCGCTGATTCTACTGCTTATCGCCTGTATTCTCCATCAATTCTGCACAGCCCGAAGGCGTAAGGACAAGCGTGTACCGTATTCCATCGAACGCAGTCAACTCATCGCGAAAAGTAATCCAAGTGAGTCGCCTTTGAGATTCCCTACTTTAGAAGGCAGTAAAATAAGACTGGAAGTCCACTGCTGAGTTTCTCATGAGTTTGGCTCATAAGGGGTAGGAGTTTTATTGAAAAGGTCTATATCATGTACAAGACCATCTTATATCTCCTAATTACGCAGTATTTTGGCCCGGCTGTGGTTCAATCAGCCCTATATTTTGGTACTGAAGAAGACAAGATGATATAACAGGATGTTTTATTTTCGTTCGATGAAGAAATCTCTGTTGGGGTGGATGTGTACAGTGCTCTCATTAGGCGCCTGTTGCTCGGCCTCAAAGCCATTTGTGAATTTTATGGGTAATTTTACGACACTTGCGCAACGTCATCGTATTAAAACATCTCTGGATAGAGTGCCGGACATAGAACGGTGTTCCGGGCGGAGCGAATATGGGAGTAGGGGTCGAGAAGGAATGGGAATTATGATGAAAACGGGAAATGAAAAGGGAAAAGAATAAATGACTATGGTTATTCCAGGCCGTCTCGGGAGGCACGTTTTTCCTTTGAGAAAAAATATTATGCCTACATCTACGAGAGGGTGAGGTAGATTACAAACTTCACATAGCTCAGAGTCAAGCGTAGGTTACGAACCCGTGATTTGTATGCCATTGGAAATAGAGTGGATGTGTAAAAACGGGACGAGTGTCAGAAAGCATATAGAATTATTTCAAATCCAGGCTGATCCCTGTCCGGCTACCATAGAATTTGAATTCGGATTTATGAATGCAGCTCAAGCTGTGTCTTCAAAGTCTCTCACCTCTTGAGCTTGAACATATGATACTGTAAAGTTTTGAGCTTGAACAGATGATACTGTACAGTTTTTCTTATAACGATTCATATAAGATTGAAGATGATCATTCGCGATGCCCATACTTGAGTTGCTCTGTATGTTGTAGCAGTTCTAGACAAATGTTCAATGAGTGGCCGGTATCATTTCCTTATTTTTGTACTTCTATATTAAATACTTTTGGAAGCTTCTGTCAATGTCGTAAAATTAGTAGGCACGTAGAAAGCTTGAAATCGAAAGTCGATCAACATTCCCAATTCAATTTTTCGAGTTTTGTTCATTTATACGGGCGTTTGAGTGGTGTGGGGGTTCCACCAGCTTACCAACTGAATAGCGACAAAGTACGAGTCTGGGTGGAACCCAACCTCTGCTTCCGTCTACAACACTGCATTCTTTTGATGATATTGGGGCATCGCGAGGTGCGGGGATAAGCAGCAGTAACAAAGAAAAACAACTCTGAAAAAACTTCAGTCATTTTTCTTTCTGTGAACGTTTGGTGAAGAAATGATTGAACGACCTTCTTTCAGGCGAGGTTTTGCTTCCGCTCTGAAGCTTACCCAGGGGATTTTCCTCCTAATGACTATGATAGAAATCTCTTTCAACCATCACCGTATTAGAATATTTTGTCGAGTTTTTCCCTGAAATGGTGATGGTTGAGTTTCCTCTGGTTAACTTGTGGGATCAAGGTTTTTAAATGAGAGAAACAATAAGAAAACTTTCAGAATTTCCAAAGGGTTTGGATTTGATAGATAGTGAAGTGTAATTCAGAGATCCTCCCCACGAAGACAAATGAGGATTCTATTTCGGAATAAAATTACTTCCTTAGATTCGCAAGAATCTATGTACGGTAGAGCGTGTAAACGTTGGAAACTGCAATCTAGCGGTTTATTTTAAGGTATGTCCTTGTGAGCCCTGAAACACTTAGGCACCAGATTATGTATTGCACCAAAAGAAAGCTTTAGAGGAGACAAAACGATCTAGGATATTTCATTGTCAGTTATGAGACCAGTCAATGTTTTGCTTGATGTTTGACCAAGTAACCGCGTCTATCTTGGGAACGATATGGGCCCTTAAAGCCCTTCGTCGGTAAACATGGCTTGAATGATAACTTCCCAGTCAAAGTTTAGAGATCCGTCTCGAAAGAAAGGAGCGATAATCTTTCCTGTCGCTCACACTACCTTCATGGTTCACTGGTTGTGAAAAAGCATCTGTTCTCCTGAGAATTTTAGGAAGACATGAGTGTACTTTTAAGAATTTTAGGAGGACATGAAATTAGTAATAAACCCATGTTCATAGCAGGAATAATTTGGAACTGTTAATGGGAAGTCGATGTGACATAATGTCCAGAAGTCTCACCATCAGTCAGTTGCACGATCCGGTGTAATGCGTCGTTCCCGAAGCAATTAGGCTTTCCTTCATTATGGTGCCGACCATTACACTTGTTTGAGAGAATAAAATACTGAGGAACAGGGGAGTAGGCTTCCTCAGTTTTTACTTTTTGTACTCACTGGTCATTAGAAGTCTGAGGAATCCGGAAAGCAACGTCTTCGCTTTGTCTCTACGGGATACATCTCGGAAACCATATTTTGGTAAGGACTTCCAAGCGTAGAAAAGTACGCATCACCATGTCGCACTGGAAAGTGTCCCTTCCAAGAGAAAAGGGGCGCTAGTATAAAAGAGTGGCAGCACCAATCAAGAGGGACGTATTAGAGAACCTGAGTTAAGTGATCTTTATCTGTAGATGAAATATCTTTCAAGAAGTTCAGGTATAATATTTTTTCTAAACATGGGAGCTCAACTACCAGGTAAAGGGCCCACATGGTGAAAGGAAAATTCAAGCAGAACATGGGCTGTTCCCTTACGTTGACATCGGATATTTCTCAGTTGTGGGTCTTCTTCTAAAGTTTTTAAATGAGTGAAGATAATCATGTGGGCCTATGTTCAGTGCCAGTCGGTTCGGCGACTATATTCATGATTATTTTGAGTCAAAAATAAGATTCGGGTTCCCACGGGGCAGCTGGCATGTCGTTGTCTACGACTGATAAATTGCATCCACTAATCAGCGTTGTAATCAGTGCTTCGTACAAATATGAATAGGTTCCATGGACCTGAATTTGATAAATTTTCTTCAAATTTCAATTATTGCAGTTCTGGATGGTCCCCCGTCACTAATGGAAATGGGCGATTTTGAGTCGGAAACATTCCTCCGCTATTCACTATCGACACCACCTCGATCGTCCCATTATGACTTCTAGTTGATCGTCTCCACTTCTTTTCGGTGTTCTCATCAGCTATGCCACCCATTTATGTCCGAGTTTCCTCGATGATCTGTGATAGAACGTGTATCGATTTGTTGGCCACGATTGTGTACGGAATTGTGTGCCGACATTTCTACTTTTTTGATTATCTCATTTCACCTGCAGTCACTTATCTGCTCACTACCATCTTTCCAGTCATATTTCCATAGTTTTTTTTTTCATTGTACATATATCGATTTTATATAAATCTACGAAAAAATGAAGTCTCATATCGTATGTTGTTTGTGCTGGAATGTTGTCTGTTTACTGTACAGTTTGTACTTGATGTCCAATTCATTACTTTGAACTACTTTTGAGTTAAAAACGAAAAAAATCGTTGCAGTAAGCATGTACTGGCGATTTCGAGCTGATTGTCAAGAGTCTACCGTACGCTGCGAAGTTCAGAGGGCCCGTGTGTTAGGTCCCACTGTCAGAAGCTCCGGGTAAAAGGGGAAGGGTTCTGAGTGACGGCACTACCACCTGTATATTACTTTGGGCCAGATCAAAACAAAGCCGGACATCCGTCCAGGAACCCAGAGCCACTAAGTCCGGTCGAGACCTGGCAGTGTCGGTCTGTATAGGGAGGATCAGGAGGATCATTAGCATTGTATGTGAAGGCCAATACGAATCCTAGGGCGAAAGGCTCTAGGATGCGCATCATAGGGCGAAGCTTTTTCGAGGTGGGATGTCGAGTTCATGGCCCGTCCCGCTGAGGGATAATCATACACCGGAATCCTTGTATTATTATTTGTTTGTGTTGACTTTTTCTTCTGCGGGATTCAGTTTTTGCTAGAGCAACCTTTGATTGTTGTGCCGTCTCACAGATACCGTGTACCCCCCCCCCAAATCTCCTGCGTGACTAATCAATACCTGACATTGATTTTTGGGAATTGAACTATTGTCGCTTCAAAGATTCAAAGATTTTCAACAAGATACTCCTTGCATTGTTCCGCTCAGACAGTTGAGTTTCAGCCCTGCTCTATCGCAACGAGATGCTGAGCACCTGATCTACGTACCGATCACAGGGTAAACCCCCTCATGAACTCTTCACCTGACCACTGAATATGTCCCAACAATGTTTACCAATGCTAATGGTTTATTTGTCAAAATAAAAGCTCAAATCTGAAAAGAATTTGATCCTTTTCGACAATGCCTGACTTCTGTTCATCTGGGTTGAGGGAACCGTGTTCTCGATATCTACTTACCACAAAATGCGTCTTCCCTTCGTCAGCTAGAATCTGGAGGAACGTTCCACCCAGTTGAGTTCAATGTTCTGTATGGATTTGTTCCATTGTCAAGATAGTCTTGGTACCTTCATTACCGTATTTTAAGGGATTGTCTCCTAAACTTCAGTGCAGGTTCACCACTGCCGATAGAGTCACCTTTTGAAAGTTACGCACAATTTCCTGGTCTGAAGTTAACTGGCTTGAACGATGAGTGTAGTGGCAATAGGCTCGCCTCGATAGTTTCATTTAGCATCTTCACCCCATTATTCTTACCTTCAGCTTACTTCTATTATTTTCTTCGCTCCTTTACTACGACTATTCTTTTCACTGTTTCCAATTCCCCCCAATATAAAGGATCAAGTCTTTGAGAGTTCATCAAAACGCCACTAGATCCGAATGGAAGTCGAATGCGAGGGATGGGCCCTCGCATTCGGAATGTAGTGGTGTTTTGTATGCGTCTGTGGCCCATACAATGACTTGCGGGGGCCAAGTCAGCGCGTTTATCCTCCCAGAGGTGCCTGATACCG